TGGACATTTCATATACTCGAAATCATATAATCAGTGGGTTTTGGTGATTGCCTTCTTTCACTTAGCATGGTGTTTTCAAGGCTTATCAAGGTGGTAGCACATACTGCAGCCCTTTTCGTGACTGAATAATTTTCCATCATGTGGATATACTATATTTTGTTTATCCATTCATCAGTTAATGGACATCAGGGTTGTTTCCAGTGATTGGTTGTTACAAGTAACACTGCTATAAACATTCATGTACTAGTTTCTGTGTGAACACGTGTTCAGTTCTTTAGGGTACAGACCTAAGAGTGGAATTGCTGGGTCATATGGTAACTCTCCTTAACATTTTGTTATGACACACTGTTGTTTGTAGAGGCTGCATCATCTTATGTTCCCACCAACAATGAAAAGGGGCTCCAATTTCTTCACTTCCTCTCCAACACTTGCTATTTTTTAAGTCATCCTAGCGCAGGTAAAATGGTATCTAATAATGATTTTGATTTGCATTTTCCTAATAACTAACTGTTGAGCATCCTTTCATTTGCATATTGGCTATTGATGTACGTTTTTGGAGAAACATCGATTTCTAAATCCTTTGCACATTTAAAAATTGTTTTAAAAAAGTGTTTTTGAAGAGTAAGAAGAGTTCCTTACATATTCTAGATATGAGACCCTTATCAGATATATGATTTGGAAATGGTTTCTCCCATTCTGTGGCTGTTCTCTCTCTTGAAATTTTTGTGATACTGTCCACTTTTCTACTTGCTTACTTGTACTTTTGGTGTCATACCTAATAAACCATCGCTTAATTCAAAGTCATGATATTTATATATAAATATCATTTTAAAACTGGAATTTCAAAGACTTTCTCTTCTCTCATGAAGGAGAGACATATAATCATAAAGTTCCCTTTGCAGTTTTAAATAAGCCTGAACTGTATCCGGCATTGGAAAACTGGGCTCGTTTTTACTAGGAAATGGAAACATTAAAATCACAAGTTTTCTCCCAAATTAATTTACATAAAATATTTGTCACAGGGCATTGAATAAACTGTAATTATTTATTATTATTTTCCTTAAAATTTTTTTTTAACATTTGTTTGTTTTTGAAGGAAAGAGAAAGACAGAGCACTTTCTGTCTGTGGGGGAGGGGCAGAGAGAGGGAGACACAGAATCTGAAGCAGGCTCCAGGCTCTGAACTGTCAGCACAGAGCCTGATGAGGGGCTCAAACCCACAAATCATGAAATCATGACCTGAACCGAAGTCAGATACTTAAACAACTGAGTCACCTAGGTGCCCCACTATTTATTATTATCTTAATCATTAAACTTATCTTGAGAGATTTTAAATCAATGTTTTGAAGAAAATAATTAATAGAAAATAGTAATACAAGTTTGGAATTCACGATTAAGTGAAAAGCACTCAGAGGACATGTTAGCATATGTGACAGGTAAAAGTTGAGATGACTTCCCTATGCCTGCTAGGATTGGCAAAAGGGATGGCATTTGTATCTCGAGCTAAGAGTGAAGTCCCCTAAAATTTGGGGACAGGAAAAAAAAACCTTAGTTTCATAACCTTGTTTCAAATTACTAAATTATGTAAACGTACGTTCAAGATTTTATGAGATGGTTTACCTACTGTTACACTAATGGATCTTGACTTTCAGATTATCTTTTCATAGAACTTAAAAATGGGAATTTCAGGGACATTTGCCTCTCAAAGCCCACTCGTATACTGCAATCCAGGGGGCCATCTCCAGGGAGAATATTAGAAACAGAATGTATGATTATACAGGCAGTGCACTGCTTAACTACAGGGGATTCCAATGATTGAAGGTGATTGTAGATTCACAGGGTTAAGATTTTCCATCAGATCAGCAGACAGGTGTTTTGGAGAAGGTGGCCGCTTCTTAACATGTATAAATTCACTGCCAGGCTAAGCAATGTGGCAGTCATGAGTAGGACCAAGACTTCCATCTGTTTGCAGGCAGTATATCCACATGCATAGCAATGTATCCATCAGATCAAATTTTGGGGAGCCAAACTGGGGCTCTTAAGTTATTTTGGTAGTTGTCTGCTCTACAGTACCCTCATTTTGCTAATGTGATAATGGTAATACCCATAAACTTTAACAGACACGTACCAATGACCTACAGAATCCCTGATATTTGTGTTTGCGTAAAAGTAACAGCATCAACGATCATTTTGAATAATAACTTTTTGTGTGAATGATTAAAACGCACTGATCCCCAACAGAAAAGTAGAAAAACATCATCATTCACAGAATTCAAATGACCATTAAATATATGAAAAACTCTGTTTTACTAGTAATAAAATAAAACAAAACTAAAGTTTGGGACATCTGGGTGGCTCAGTCAGTTAAGTATCCAACTCTTGATTTCAGTTCAGGTCAGGATCTCATGCATGGTTTGTGAGACTGAGCACCATGACGCGCAGAGTCTCTTGGGATCCTCTCTCTCCCTCTTTGTCTGTCCCTCCCCCACTCTCTCTCCAAATAAGTAAACTTTAAAAACAAAACAAAACAAACAAAAAACTAAAATTAAAACAGTGAGGCATTATTTTTCATTTACTAGACTGGCCAAAATAAGAGTGCTGGCAAAGGTAAGAAAAGACCTCACTTATATGCTGTTGATGGATGTGGGTGGGCACAACTCTTCTGGCAGTAGTCAAAATGTCAAATGTACAGTCCCTTTGATTCAGACATCCTACTTCCAGGAAATAATTTAGTTGAGTAAAAATATCTAAGTAGGCAGAAGCTTTGTATACAAGAAGGTTTACTGCAGTATCACTGGCAGCACTGTGGTATTAGAATAATCTTTATCTACAACTATAATTTATTGGTTGAATAAGTTCAAAATAGAATGTATAGAATATTCTAATTTAAAAATTATATGTGCATGTACGTGTGTGTGCATGTATGTTCACAGATATACACAGTCATAGAGAATATGCTGTGCAGTGTTACGTCTAGGACACAGAAGTGGGGGAAAGGAGGACTTTGGCTTTTCTCTTTATGTACTATTATTATGTCTATTTAAAAAAAATCACCTGCAGCACTTTTGTTAGTGTTTAAAAAGTAGACTGTGGAGTTTACACTGCATTTGTGAACTGGAAGCAAGCCAGGAACATAGTTCAACTGTGTACTGACTGCACACTGAAAATATTTTCCGGGGCGCCTGGGTGGCTCAGTTGGTTAAGTGTCCAACTTTGGCTCAGGTCATGATCTCGCAGTTTGTGAGTTCGAGCCCCGCGTCAGGCTCTGTGCTGACAGCTCAGAGCCTGGACCCTGCTTCAGGTTCTGTGTCTCCCACTCTCTCTGCTCCTCCCCTGCTCATGCGCTCTCTCTGTCAGTCAATAATAAATATACGCTAAAAAATTTTAAAAAGAAAATATTTTCATATTCACTGGATACCAGCTATTTTTCAGTGGGTAAAGGTGGTATTTGGTTTGTCTAACACAAATTAAGGTCACTTTATAATCAGAAGCCAAAAAAAAAAAAAAAACCACCTATGAACAAGATTCTTCTGTATATTATATGGTTGGTAAATGCAGTTGATTAATGACAGACTTGGGACACTGACACAAGTTCTGAGCCCCACAGTATATGCTAAGGCCCTGAGGAACGACAACCTCCTTATAAGAGCCTCTGAGCAATGCAGATGCTACTTTCCATCTTAAAAGATCCAAGTCCTCATCTAAGAGGAATCCCTAGAATTCAGCTTTCTTCGGGTGCTCATGCAGTCTGCAAACGTCTCAGGAATGCAAAGAAACACCGAAAAATTACATTTATAAAGTAGTTCCTCTGGGGAGCGCCTGGGGGGCTCAGTAGGTTGAGTGTCTGACTTAGGCTCAGGTCATGATCTCATGGTTCACGGTTCAAGCCCTGTGTCTGCCTTTGCGCTGACAGCAGGGAGCCCACTTCAGATCCTGTCTCCCTCTCTCTCTGCCCCTCCTCCACTCACCTTTCTCTCAAAAATAAATAAGCAGTTAAAACAAAATTTTAGCTCCTCTGTTCTTGGCCGACCTAGGTCCTTCCAGAAAGAGGGCCCTGTTACGGTCTGAATGTCTGTGATCCCCCTAAGTTCCTATGTTGAAATCCTACTCACCAGAGATGATGGTATTAGGAAGTGGGGCCTTTGGGAGGTGCTTAAATCACAAGGGTGGAGCCCTCATGAAGGGGATTACTATTCTTGTGAAAGAGGTCCCAGAGAGTTCCCCTGCCCCTTCTACAATGGGAGGACATAGCGAGAAGTCTACAACCCAGATGAGGGCCCTTACCAAACCATGCTGATACCCTGATCTTTGACTTCCAGTGTCCAAAACAGAGAGAAATAAGTTTCTCCTGTTTATAAGACACCAGAACTGTAGAATTTTGTTACAGCAGCATAAAAAACCAAGACAGGCTGTGTTTAAAATTCAAAAGACCAGGTTCACATCCTGGCTTTTCTCTTTCCTGAAGTAAGGCATAAACATCCACGTTCCTATTTCTTCGCCTAGAAGGGAGCTCTAATATTACCTATGTCACTTCCATTCTTAGGCTGATGCAAGGCTAACACATGGTCCTGCTGAGTAAGGTGCTTTCAAGGCTGTCATAACCTCAACAAATGGGAAAGTATTTTAGTAAAATGTGGTACTTTGAAAGGGAGAGATTTTCAAGGATCAGCACTAGTTTATGGTTTTTCTCTGGTTTAACAGAACTCTATGCTGTTTATAAAGAACTATTAAATAGTAGTGTTTTATTAAAAGTTTATTATATGGCGATCATTGCTGACCACTTCTGGTAGTGTTTTAGATGTAATTCTTCCACACTAGCACTCATCGATGGTTTTATTCAAATAATAACATTTTTAAAGGCCCAAGAATTAAGAAATAATCCTATTTGACTTATTAGGGATACCGTTATGGCACGAACTGGAAATATTCTTTACATCTTCTGCAGCAACAAAATGAAACACTGCCCAAGTTTATAGTAAAGACACTACTAAGAGGCAGGTATTTCACAGGCAAGAAAACCTTTTATTTTAAACCACAAATAGTCAGCAGGTGGCCACAACTATCCATGTTTCATTAAAACCACATAAAACCTAGGTACAAAAGCACCACTGATTATTGCTCTAGAAAAACTGCGTGAAAAATTTAAATATGCACGGTAAAAACACCACAGTATCCACAGGACCCAATTTCTAAAGCAAGTGCATGGAATGCTCAATCAATCTTACACATAGCTTTCAATAATAAACTGATATTTATTTTACTTGAGGATGATGGAAATTCCCAAAAAGCATGACTATGAGAAGATAAAATGTCCATCCTTATATATTTTTGTATGCCAACTAGTAGAATCCTAAAAAATTAGCATTTACAAAATACTTGGTAAAAATAGCTTTTAAAAGTTGCCCCGAGAGGTACATAAAATCAACCCCAATTTTTCATGGCAATTCATTCTCCCTTGTTATCTACAGATTCAGTTTTCTGTGCCTGTGAAAAGAAAGGAGGGGGGGAGATATAGTTACTATTAAAGCTACTATCAGCCAAAAGAAAGTCCACCCGACCAACACACACACTCTGAACATCTGGTTTTCAGCAACTCCATTGCAAAACCTATTTCAGCTCTGGGTGTGAAACAGACAAGGCAGGAATATAGTAGGCAAACACTTGGCTGCATTTACTGCTTTCTGCTTTTCAAACGACCACAGAAGCTTTACCTGCAAGCTCCCGCTGTTCATAATAAAAAAACACCACACTACTATCTGATTCTAGTCACTGCAAACATGCAGAATTTTCTACTGTACCCTTAACTCTCACTGTTTCAATCTGCCCCTTTACTGACAGTGTGCTGGGTGGGGTACCTCTGGAGGTTGAGACATTAACAGTTGAGCGAGAGATGTGGATCTGTAATAACATTACAGGCAATAAAAAGAGTCATTATGAACGTGCTATCACCGGCTGAAGGATTGAGCAATTTCTTTTAAGACACTGATTCAATCAGTGGGGGGTATTTATGGAAAGTACCTCTTCAGCTTTAGTTTCACCTTTTTCAGATGGTGCAGTACCTTCCTTTCCAGCTTCTTGCTTTTCCTCCTTCTTCCCTTTAGCACCTTTGTTAACCTTTGTTCCAGGTTCTTTCTAACAGAGAGAAACAAGGCACGTTAGACAGGGTGTGATGTCAGTGAAAATCAGTCAGCCTCGTCCAAACACAAGGTAAAGCAAAACCAGGGCCAACACGGTAGCTTCCCAGGGGGAGAGGAACCCCATTTGGCAGTGCCTCGAGTGGGTTACACTGAGTCTCTGTGAAAATGTAACGGGCTGGGGCGCCTGGGTGGCTCAGTCGGTTGAGCGTCCGACTTCAGCTCAGGTCATGATCTCATGGTTCATAGGTTTGAGCCCCGCATCGGGCTCTGTGCTGACAGCCAGCTCAGAGCCTGGAGCCTGTTTCAGATTCTGTGTCTCCCTCTCTCTCTGACCCTACCCCGCTCATGCTGTCTTGCTCTCTCTCAGAAATAAATAAAACATTAAAAAAAAAGAAAAAAGAAAATACAACGGGCTGCTTAGAATATCCACTGACTTTCTCCTCTGGGAAAAAGGTGGGGATTCTCTTCATGTATTTGTTCAGTGGGCCTCCTCTCACTACAGAGAAGGGCACCGTGGAGGGCACCAGCAGTGGGCAGCGATGGAGGAGGCAGAAGCCAGGAAAGAAGCCAGCAACAGAAACACCTCACAGGGGAACATGGGACTTAAGTGACTAGAAGCCTGAGAAAATGCTTGAAAATTAAGCACCAAGTGAAGAAAAGTTCCTGAGTTTTTTAAAAAAAGTTTATTTTGAGAGAGAGAACGAGCATGTGCACGAGCAGGGGAGGGGAAGAGAGAGAGGGAGAGAGGGACTTCCAAGCAGGCTCCAAAGGGACACCACAGAGTCTGATGCGTGGCTCAAGCTCACAAACTGGGAGGTCAGATGCCCAACTGAGTCACCCAGGCACCCTGAAAAGTTTCTGATTTTAAGGCTAAGCCACAGGGGCAAGTTCTGCTTCAGAATCACCTACTCCTGCCACAGATACACATTGTTTCAAACAATTCACAACAATGTTCTGAAGGGCAGAGTGCAGAAAGCTATTTGGAACAAGTTTCCTTATCTGCAAAACTGGTTATGTGTACCCACCTCATTGGGCTGATGTGAGGTTTTCATAAGAAAAGCAAGTTGAACAAGGTGTCGCATAGTATAAGAGCCATATAAATGTTTGCTGATATTGATTATTGGCTTCTGTCAATTATTATATGATCAGTCATCAGACTAAGCCACTAAGACCAGTTAGTTATATGAAGTCAGATCCCCTCCCCCAAGCCCCTGAGCCACTGGCAGCTGCGTTACCAGGGCCCAGCCTCCTGCCTTACCAGCCACCATGTGAACCGCACGCTGCTATCAATCCCTCCTGGACAGGCGGCTTCTCCCAGGACCATGCTCAGACCAAATGGGAAACACATTCCTGGGAAAGCATAAAACTGTGCTTTATGCCTTTTGTAACAATGGTGACAGTTTCCTAGTCAGTGCATTTAGCCTGAATCACTACATGTGATTTTTCCTTGGGGGATTTTTCGATACAAAATTACAACGTATTCATTGTTTAAAAGACCAAAGATGGGGACCAAGCACCTCCTACCTTAGCGGATGTTTTTCTTGGTTTAGGTTCAGGTTTGGGTGGAGCAGGTTTCTGCAAAGATAAATTACACAAAAACTGACAAAGACAACCCTCAGGACCAAAAGGAATGCAACAAGACTGCAGAAGACACCCGTTCATTTTGACTACGATTTTGTTCATTTAAAAAAAAAAATTCATTCTATTTTTGGCATCAGGTAACAGCATAAAGATCTGTGCGTTTCGTGACTATTTTCATCCTGGGTTCTCAAGTGAACAGCAGGTGAGATTTAAAAGCCGACTCATTATTCCCCAGTCCAGAGTAGCTCTCCAGGAACAGGTTTAAGCTTCTAGCTCTGATGTCTCTGTACTTCCTTTGATCACAGCACAGCAGCAAGAGGAATGACTCAGGCCCTCGGCCAAATGACTCAATGAATTCAGTCACACTGGCCTTCCCAACAGTCTAGAAATCACAGCACTATCGCAGGCAAAGCTCATCTGGTAATGAAGACCGCTGCCTGTGAAGTATTTCAAAATCATTTCCACATCCTTCCACCTCTAATGTCGATTTCAAGTTTTGTAGCCCAGCTTCGGCTTCTTCCTCTTCGCATCCTCTCCAATGCCAGCTCAAGGTGAGAAGACTCTCTCGCCCACTCAGACACTAGGCTCATTTGCCCATAGAGCTTTTTAATCAAGAACATAATTGTAATAATAAAATGTCCATTGTTAGCTCCCAAAGTTCAAGATTTTTCTTAAACTTAGCCAAGGAGTCCACTAGGCAATTATTTTTCTCTTGCTTCATGTGGTTGGTTCTCTTCTCTGCTGCCATGAGCACTGCCTGTCCTGTGGCCAAGGTCCCCTCTATACAGGGCTTCAGCCCTTACCTGCTTTTCAGAGCACTGAAATGGGGAAGGGGGGGCGGGGGGGCACACATGGGGACACAGGGGAAGATAACTAGTTAAAGCCTCTGCTTTTCTACAGCTACTTTAGGGCAAATATTTCTCTCCTCAAGCTAGAAAAAAATAAGTGTACATTTCTCCCAACACTTGGGAGAATGGCTTTTAAACAGAAAACGCTGCCCAGGGTCTCCTCCTCTGGAGAAAAATACATGTTTGTTCCCAATGACTGTAGGTGGTTCAGGTTCATATTGAATCTGGCTCTGTTTATCAGGGGCATAAAGTAAAATTGTAGACAGTTCAATTCCAGAAGATTGGCTATTAAGACAGGACATTTCAAATTAAAAAGGACAACTGGGTTTGAAAAGTGAGGGATGTCTTTGTTAAGCTTCTTACCACCCTGAATCTGTGGTCTGTTCCCCAAATACAGCAGCTTGAACGGCTCCTAAGTTTTCAGAATTTAAAAAATTTTGTAATGCCAGGCTTTGATATATTGTATTAACATATATGTGTTGTCACAATTTACAGCAAATAATTTTCTTTTATATTTCCTGTAAAGACAGACCTCTCCTCCATTCAGCATTCAAGTGTTTCAATGGGACAGGAAAAGATAAGATTCTGCAGGCAGTGATCCCACTGGCCACCCAGGAGACCGTTGGCACCACGGGCAACGACCTCAGTGGAAGGTGCTTATACTGCTGGTTCATGGTGTTAAGAAAAGCTTGATTTTAAATTTTGATTTCTATTTGACTTATAATGTCTACTCCCTGGATGGGACAGAGATCCACAGAATACAATGGCTTGTAGGACAATCTATAGTTAAGCCTAATGAAAGTTAAAATATAACTCCAGAATCATGAAAGTTCACGGTGAAAGTTAACATTGGACAGAGCACATCATCTTGAGGGGGCTTTGGCAGAATCCGGATTAACCGTGTACGCACATGACTGCATTATGTGCAGACAGACCTCTCCTCCATTCATCTTTCCAGTGGCTCTGATATTGCTCCCTTCAGTTGGAACTTTCGTGAAACACTGCCTTACCCAACCCTAAATTGGGTCTATTCTGGAACTTGTCAGTGCCCTCATAGCCTTTTCTGCATTGATTCCCTATTCTGTGCCAGGCACAGGGGTTTGAGATGAAATCCATGCTTCCCTGAAGACCAAAGAAGCTAGCAGCTCTTGGCAGCCAACAAGCCAATGGCTTTCCCTCTACATCTCAGGGCTCAGCAAGGGCTGCAGCTATTTTAACCAACATCCTCCACCAGAGAGCCACGCTGACCGCTCGTGGCAGAGTAACGGCTGGTATATCAGCAGAGCGGGAAGGAGGAGCACAAGAGCCAGCAAGGAGCACAGCCTCGTGAGAAGGGTTGGAGCCCATTCATGGCCAAGGCTTGGTCACTGCTGCCCATCCTAGCCTTTAAGGATCATAACCCTGGTCTCTCCCTTTCACAGAGGGAGACTCTGAGTAACAAAGTAGAATCATTACTTTTTCAAAGATTGTCTAGTTCTGAAATGAGGCTAAAAGCACATGGATTCCGATAACTTTCCGCACGTTTCTGAGTAAAGTATAAGCCGTGGAGAGAGATCAGAATTCGTCTCCACTTTAGCACATCATATGTAGAATCAGAAGGGTAGGTCTTTGCTAATGTGCTTCTTTTGTTTCAGAGATCTAGAAATATCGAACAGCTTCCTGGGCTTTGTACTCCTGGTAATGGGGCCGGCTGCTACTTTTCACTGACATATCCGATCAAGTGAATTGCTTGGCAACACTGGTCACATTTGCTAGAGACTGTGACCCAGGTTAATTTCCAAAAAGGAAATAAAAAAACTCAAGGGAAATAACACCTTAATCTTCCTTCTGCTGCTTTGTCCTGAACAGAGGGAATGTGTATTCATAAGAACTAACAAGGGGGTTCTAAAGTACTCACCGCTGACAATCTGGCAGACCTTCTGGTGGGCTACAAAGGAAATGGAAAAATATATAATTTTATTATATGCAACCTAGCTGATTTTTAAAAATTCATTCTTGATATCTTACTTTGTTAAAAGAGTATAATGTAGGACTCCATTACCCTCTCCAGGTGAGCACAGTAAAACATACTTCAAGTGCCCTGTGGACCATAATACTCAACAAGAAGTTTTCTAAAGAGGGGTAGACACACTAGTCAAAGAAACGGCCTCTCCCAATTAAGGGTGTTGTGGGTAAGACAAAGAAAGGATTAATTTAGGTTCCAACCCATAGTCTACTTGTGTGATACAAATGAAATAGGAGAGCTAAGGAGCTTTTTAAGAGCTAGTTCCAGTCTGACTCTTGTTCCTTACAAATAGAACTAAAACTTACAAATTAATACAAAAGAAGACTTACATAATTGTGTAGAAACCAAAATAGGAGTTCCCTGACTTGTTACTCTGTTAGAAAGAGAATGACTATAAATCTTAAAGAGAGTTCACAAGAAATACTTCCTCTTACTTGTAACAAAATAAGCGCATTTATTTATCTGCTAAATGCATATGTTTAATGAAAGACTGAGATAGCATAAAAAGTTCACTAAATCTTCCCTTTTAATTTGGAAGTTGAGAACATTTAGAAAAACCGGGTTGAGATTAGTATCTTTCAGGAAATCTTTTTCTCTTCAAGGATGCAAATTAAGCAAATGAGGCCGCAAAGAAAATTTAAAATAGCAAAAAACGTTAGGCATTTCAGAAATAAGCATACAGAACTGATATTCTACTTACCATCAGCAAAAGATGGCTCCCCAAGGGATTTCACATTCTGAGAGTGTAACTGCCTTTCTTGAAAAGTGTTCCAGAAATAAACACTCCATACTCTGTCTGTTTTACTCACTGCTCTGTCTCTGCTAGAATAGTATACGTGCCACCTAGCATGGAGATTCTCAAAAATACGTGCTGAAAAAATGGACTCAAATCTTTCCCCTAATTCCTGCTGCCTTATGCAGACTTTGCCTCCTTACAATAGCTTAAATGTTTCAAATAATTTCTTTAAGGCGGTCAGCAAAAATGGTCAGTGGGAACCTGTGCCATAATTGCAAGGAATTATGGAATGCTGGAAGCCATGCTGAGGTCAGGATAGGTCAGCTGGTCAGGCCAAACTGGAAGAAATATTTGCCATCTTCACATCTAAGAACTTTCTCGCTGAAAATAGCCAGAGGAAGTTAAACTCATCTCTCTTTAAACTGCAGAAGGAAATGAAGGGCCAGAGCCTCCATGAATAATTTTAACCCTGGAGTCCTGAGGTAAAATCAGACCTGGACTTAAGGCCAGCTAACAGAATGTGCAGAGACTAGGAGACTGTGTCGGTGAAGTGGTGGCCCTGATATATTCACTGCACCAGGAAAGAGGATGTACAGCTTGACATGCAGTATGGGAGGCATGCCTGTATCACATGCTCCGTAGGCTACCATGGTGTCTGCTAGGATTATCATGAGTGGACTGATGGGTGCATTCATGATAACACATCCATGAGTCACAGGGACCCAGAGCCCAAATCCTGTGTTGCCTTTCTCGGGATGGTTAATTGCAATGAACTGGGTATCACCAAAAAAAAGGTAGTATTAACAAACCAGGCAGCAAGTGGGTAACTTGTGCTTCTTCAGATGCTTTTCGAACATGGAAGAGCAAAGGATCATCCACTAATTACGAAACAGAGCTATTCTTTGATGCTTCTGCATGGCCTCAAGAACTATGATGTTACCATCTCCTAAGTGAAGCACAGCCGGCAGAAGAGTGCTCAGAAAATGTACCCTTGGAGGGAAAAAATGGCAGCCTCTACGCTCAAGAGGCGTGAAAGGTCCTTAACTGAACCCCTTCTACTTGGTGTCGACTTATGTGTACCGCCTTGGCCTTACCTCACTGTTCACTTCATCTATCTCATGTCTGTGCCCCTCCTGCACTTCTCACCAAGAGAAGACCATTTTCTCTTGCATTTCTGCAGCTCCAGTGCCTAGCAGGGGCCTTCGACAAATGCTGAGGTGAAGAGAATGGGTAAGCGCCAGAAATGTGCAGTAGTGTGAACTTGAGGTGAGGTGTGCTAAGGCCACCACTTGGTTACTATCTAGTTTGAGGCCTGAAAAGAGACCAATATATTAGCTATTACTCATAAGTGCCTTCCTATCCACCAAGCAGTTGTCCTGAGGAAAATCTCATTGAAGTAAAGCCAAATCATGTGACAGATTTTCCACCTCTGGTGCTGCTGCTCCCTTCTTCTCCATGGGAACACCTGGACACACTGAAGAGGCGGATGTCAGAGAGCCCTTTGGGGTTTCCAGAAACATTCCAACCCAAGCAAGCACCACTCTGCAGGGCCCAAAACCTGTTCTGATCTGAAGGACTCCCTTTTTTTTTTTTTTACAATTCAGGCCCAATACAAGAGTTTGAAAATGAAAAGCCTGGGAAATTCATGCAAAAACAAGGTCTGCCTCTTCAGGCTGTCTAAACCAACCATCTCTAAAAAGCATATCTTTTACTGTAAAATCATTTTACAACTTTCTGTCTAAAATTTACCAGCTCTTCTTTCTATGCTATAAAAAAAGGACTTTCCTTAAATTTTCCTTTCCAGTAACCATCGTAAGAGATTTTTCTTTTTCACTGCAAACAGTGGAGGCTGAGATGAACCTTTCACTCACAGTCAGCAGCATGCTTATGCATGCAAGCGTGTACACCTTCCTGGAAAGTTCCATCAGCTTTCACAGCCTTAAAATCTATAAATGATTGGGCTATATTTATTGGATATATAACAGACTAGACTGCTATTTTTTCCTCCTTAGAGCACTAGAATTTTAAGTATTCATTTGAGACTCAGTCTCTTGGGCAGGGTTACTACGAAAAGAGAGATAATCAGAATTTCTCCCAATTTGTTGATTGTGAATCTTCAGAAGTGGCCAGAAGTGGTTCTCAGAGGAGAAAGAAGACTTTCAGAATGACATGTCACCAAGAGTTACAAAGACAAATAATGGGAGGGTTTGTCAATCTGGTGTACAGGTGCTGGCCACAATGAAATTTTTCAAAAAGCATTTGATTACTTCATCGTTCCCAGGGTTGGAGCAAATTCTGGTGAAGACTACTCCAGGACACAGAGCCTTTTACTTCAACGTTGCAAAAGAACGTGGAAGTCTAATCTCTCTATGGCAAAGTTCACTGGGGTAGCCGGCTTCAAGTAGAATCACTGGACTTTGCTGAATATTGCTTGAAACATATGTGCCATTCCAGTGGAGTCTGAAGTTATGTTTATTTTTATAGATTTCTTAACACTTCTAAGCCTGACTATATACACATCTTCCTCAACTTCCAATGGAGTTATATCCTGATAAGCCCATCGTAAGTTGAAACTGTCTTAAGCTGAAAATGCATTTAATATGCCTAACCTACCGAACATCAGAACTCAGCCTCCCTTAAATGTGCCCAGAACATGTATATTAGCCTACAGTTGGGCAAAGCCATCTAACATAAAGCCTATTTTATAATAAAGTGTTGGATATGTCATGTAATTTATTGGATACAGGACTGAAAGTGAAAAACCGAATGGCTGCGTGGGTGCCGAAGGGTTTTAGTGTGTCGGTTGTTCACCCTCCTGATCACAGGGCTGACTGGGAGCTGCAGCTCACTGCCGTGCCCAGCATCACAGGGGAGCACCGTGCCACATAAAGCCAGTCTGGGAAAAGAGTAAAACTGGACGCATGGCTTCTACCGAAAGTATCGCTTTTGCACCACAGTAAAGCCAAAAATTGTAAGTCAAACCATTACAAGTCAGGGACCACGTGTACTTCCAAACAAAAGCCAAAAGTCAAGTTGTTTTTAATTTCCAAAGATAAATGAGGACCCAAAAAGAAATTAACTTTTTTTGAAAAAGGTCAGAGCCTTGGCTGGGGAATGGAGAGGACAGAGAAAAGGCACTGGATAACCATGTTTTTATGACTGATGACCACAAAAGCGGCAGGAGGACAGAGGACTCTGAATCAGGCCTCAGATATCTTTCCTGGTTCTGCAATATACAAGCTGTGACACCTGAGGAAAATGATGTATTTCTCTCAGGACCTTGTGGCCTCTAGAAAGCTGGAAATAATGTGTTTATCTGTTACCAAAAATAGCAATTCTCTGATATTCATTATTCCCTTTCCTGGCTTTATTTTTCTTCATAGCAAATATCCGATGATTTTATTTTACTCTCTTTCTCCCCCCACTAAAATGGAAGCTCCATGAAGGAAGAGATTTTCCTCCTTTGGCTCCCTGTGGATTCTGCCGAGCCCGGAACAGTGCGTGGCACATTATAGGTACACGATACGTTGCTGTTGAGGATTGAATGCGCTCTGCCCTCATTACAGGGTTATTGTACGGATCAGGTAAAACAACGAATGTGAAAGGGCTTTGTAAACTGCCAAGGGTAATGCTTTAAATGCACTGTGGTCATTTATTGTCCAAAAACTAAGCTCTGCACTATGCCCTTCAAATATCATGGCAGTCGAAGAGGATTTTCTAATCAGGTTCCCACTTTGTGACTGGTATCTATTCACTACAGTCAAGGCTGTGCACACACAATGACGTAACTAGAAAATTCAGTCAATTGAGGAGGGGGGAGAATCAATCAATATACTCTTTGAAAGTTCTTACCCTAAACCACCAGCTGGCTGATCTTTTCACTTTTCAAACAATTGTGTTGATGTTCTGAAGACAAATCATGAGTTTTAATCTGGTCTTAGCTTAAATGACAGGGAAAGAGTGTTTTCTAGGGAAGATTTTTGTTGGTGACAATGTAATACATATAATAATATAAACTAAAATATTAAAAATAATAAAATATATAAGTAACACAAATAGCTAAAATTCTGGGGCTAAAATAATATGCATAAGACAGCTGTATAAGCAAGAATCATTTACATATATTCTAACCAGCTTGGTTGCTCTGTGTAGAAGGCTAGGAAAGACTGTTTACACGATCCAAGATCTACTGTGTGTAATGGTTTCTAGGTTTTCTGACTGACAGATCAATTTAAATAGCAGTTCTTAAAGGAAAAATCCAAACGCATTTTGTGTCCAAATCTAAAAACATTAAGATCTGTTATACTTAGCCAACTGTCCTACAAATTACATTTTTGCCATTTTTAAGAAAATCCAAGTACTTATCATTTTCTGGCTGGTTCCAGCATGTGTTTAGTAACTTGACCTGAGATCAGAAACTTCACCTCTCGAACTCTTGTGAGGCACTAAATGCTGGGTCAGTGGATGGTGGGGCCTTGGTGACAGGCAGCTTGGTTTGTTTGGCTTTTACATTGATTTAGTTATAGATTCTGTTAAAGGTTTTCCATTTGGCAGAAAAAATTTCCTTGTACAAATTTGTGGAGGGGTTCTGCTATGCATGACAAACGCCTCTGAATTATTAAACCACAATATGATTCCTTCAATCAAAGAATCTGTAACTAGATACTGTTTCTGTCTCTCATGTGACCTCGGCTAGTTTATAAGTTCAAGGGTAAGAGCTGCAGCTTTTCCACACGCTGTGAAGCTCTGTGCAAATGTGAATGGCTGGCATCATTGTTAGCCTCTAATTTGCTACTTTTTCATCCATCTCCTTATAGAGGTTCATGATATTACCACAGTGGGCAAATGCACCCATCTCTCTTGACTTCTTAGTTTTTTGGAGGTTTCTGTATTTTAATGCAGAGCTTCTTCGAGTTGTTGCCTAATAAATTATCCCAAGCCCTAAGAATTTTCCTGATTAAAAAAAAAAAGTTCAGTATTTCAACATTTCGTGTGTCCTTCCTCAGTTTTGGACTTTAGAGATGACTCCTTTTAGGTAAATATTCAGAATTAAAGAAGAAATGTATAATTCACTCACTGGAGCAGAGAATTTATTAAATCAACAGTCTTTCATTTTCTTGCTGTGAAAGGCAGACTTTGTTCTCCTTGATGAATTTACCTATTATCTCCCTCTTTGCCCAGAAGGAATTCTCAGCATCTACTTTAACAGACAGCAGGACGGACAGGTAGAAGCAGAAACAACAGAGTAAGCGGAAAATGTCTCATCAGTGATCTCAACTGAAATTTACCTAGGCCAAGCAATACTACACAGTGACACTTTTATCTCTCGTTTATGTAGCCTCAACAGCCTTATTCAGAATTGCATTCATTCAGATGCACACAACCCTAACAATATTTTAAAAATTTCCAGTTAAAATAATTAAATACAGGAAGTCAAAGATACACTTACCTCCTGTTTAGTTACTTTGGATCCATCCTTGCCCTCTGTATTCTCCGGAGACTAGAAACAAAATATTTCAGTGAATTGTATTTAAATTGGAAAGCACACATTAGAGACAGATTTGAAAAAACAGCTCTTTCAATTCTCCAGACCACATAAGTCAACAGATATTTTCTGTGGGGCGGGGGGGGGGGGGGCATAAGTTTATAAGAGGATACATTTTATACACACACACACACACACACACACAGAGCAGTTATGCAGATAAATGATTTATCTGCATAACTGTTCTAATTTTAAAACAGGAGTGGTGCAAGAACTGATATGAGCCCCTGTTTTTAATGGGCCTTCACCCGAAGCAATTTTCATTGATTGTTGATGAGTCCACCACTAGTGAAAGAACAGAGACCCAGGAGCCAGTGGCGGCGGTGCTAGGGAGCCACCACATGCTCCAGTGACTCTGTTTCTCTAAGATGAGAGTAGGGTGCTAAGAAAGCCCAGCCAGAGCACATATTTTTGTCCCGTACTTGCCTAGCTTTGATGTCTAGCCGCTTCTTGATATGACTTGACAAATGTGTCATGAATTATTATTCTTCCATTATCAACTCCAGCATATCAACCAAATTCCCAGCCTTGGCAGGGCAGCCAAATGCCCTGCCACCCCAGCTAGCTTGTTTCCTACTTTTGGTCTGACCCCCTGGGGCAGCACCTGCCCGCTCTGGTGACAGCTCAAGCCTGACTACTTCACAGGGGGCATACAACTCTGGGAAAAATATGCTTAGATTTATGTGACACACGCCGCAGATCCCAATATATTTTTATTGGCTAAAGACAGTAAACAAGGTGAAAATGACTAAAATAATTAGAATATTAAACTATTTCACACATTTTAAAACCATACAGAGGTAGAAGAAGGTGATACCCAATCTCTAGGACACAAATGGGCAAACGGTACGAATAACAGAGTTTCCAAGAGAAAACAGCAAACTGACATCTGCCATAATGTTTGGCTTTAGCAAAATGAAACAGCTATGCAGTAATGCCTCGGCTGATAAAATGAGAAAAAAAAATTTAAAGATCATAAAACCTACTGTTTGGTGGGGCTGGTAAATTAATATGATATTTTCAAAAAACAAACTGCCAGTACGAGAAAGACACACCGGACTAGTCATACAAAGATCTAGTAATTCCAATTTTGGAACCAGGACACAAAGAAAGACTGTAAAAATACCACTTTATTTGTGCTGTTTCTAATATGGACTGACTCGAAACAACTCACATGATCAGTAAATAACAGAGAAATATTTAAGGAAACTATGTAATTATTAATGCAACGGGATTAAAATAAGTTAGGCTATGTGAATATACAGAAAGCCCACATAAAATAATGCTAAGTTAAAAAGTTTAGATTATAAAATAACATGTAAAACATAGGCTAGAAGTATATAAAGTCTTTTAGAAAGTCAAAAGCTTTTCTTCAAGGCAGAGGGCACAGTAAACCTTTAATCCAGAGTCTGTCAGTTCACTTCCCTCTAGGACTTCCCATATTCATGGAGTTCTTTCTTGTTTCCCAAACAACCCTTTTCCCCTCTTCCCTGGAACCTTCTGTATCATGAAGGGAAACACCGCTTCTCATCTTGCTGTGTTAGCCAGCCAAGTTGGAGACCGCAAAATCTTACAAAGTGTGAGCATATGAAGATAGTCCCTAGGTAGGCTATTTGGCTTTGCTCAATTGCATGTTGCAAACGCGACTTTCTGGCCACAAACCAGACCCTCCATTGTCAAGAAGTACTGGGCTCTCATTCATACCTGGTTAGGCCACTCGGTAGATTTCAATCTACCTGTAATTGGTGGGCACACAACTATTCTGATGCTAACGGACATTTAAAAAAGTTAAAAACGGATGTTAATGACAAAATTTTCAAGATTCTTCTATGAAGTTAATTAGTGACAGCGATATGATCGAGAGATCACTTTCTAAACACTGACCTAATAATCTCTGTGTCAGATGCAAATTACTGAAAAAAGAAACCTGGACAGATGCCATATAAAAAAATCAGGTATAACTGAAAACGTTAATGGCTTCACATAAATGGACATAAGACTGGAAATGTGAAGAGCTACAGCTCAAGGCAAAGCTGGTTACTCTGGCAATCTCTCCATAAGGGCTTTCTATTGACAAGCATGTAACAAATTTAGTCAAAACAAAGCAACTGCTCTTTATCCTGGGATCAGTGTGGTACTGTAGCATGTGTGCAGGTCAGGATGAGGGCCTGAGTGTCGGCTCTCTACCTAGGAGTTGTGATCTGGGCCAGTGAGCTGATCAGTGGCTCAGTTTCTTCATCCATGAATGACAGAGGACGATGACATTGAACTCCAAGCGTCATGCTTATGACCAAGTGAGATGTTTAGAGCATTTCAGAGATGGCGAATTGTTATACAGATGTTGTGCAATGAAACATGTATCTTTTTTTTTTTTTTAAATGTTTTTTATTTATTTCTAGGAGAGAGAGAGAGAGACAGCATGAGCAGGGGAGGGTCAGAGAGAGAGGGAGTCACAGACTGAAACAGGTTCCAGGCTCTGAGCTGGCAGTCAGCACAGAGCCCGACACGGGGCTTGAACCCACAAACCGCGAGATCATGACCTAAGCGAAAGTCGGACGCTTAACCGACTAAGCCACCCAGGCGCCCCATGAAACATGTATCTTAATGAGTCTTCCAAATGATTAAATATCAAATTATGTTCAATAGAACCTTAAAGGTTAGCACATAAAGACTCCCTGTAACCTTGTTACCTGTTTTTGTTGCATAGAGTAACAGATATACTATTTCAAAAGACTTATCATTTCAGGCTGTCTTATCACATGCCCGGTCTACCATTAACTCTTAGCCATGAGGCCAGAGACAGGAAGTAGGGCATGGTATGAAGGGATTGAAGCAGAAGGCCAAAGATTTTGTCCCAAGGGATTGTGAGGAATAAAGACAAAGAAAAGGGGGTAATGGGAATTGACGGTCGACGGCGAAGATCTCAGATGTACTTCAACCCTCTGGTGGGCTGATGGGAAGGATGAGGCGAGTAAGATGGGATCTGAAGAATTCCAAGGGGGATGGGTTCTCAACTCATTTCCCAGGACAGAGCAAACTTAGGCTAATCCAGTTTGAACTCAGAACGGTCAAGAGAGTAAAGAACCATGGTCCAACAAAAAGGTCTCATTCACGTATCTGAGGCAAAGACATGGAGGCTGAGAATTTTCCCAAATTAAAGTCGTGAGTCTCCAGATTAAAAGCTTATGCCAAGAAACAAAATGGAAACAAAACAAATGGATACCATGAAACATGCTGTAGTAAAACTGTAGTAAGGTGAGAAAAATCTTAGAAGTTATCGGAGTTGGGGATGCTTGGGGGCTGTCGGTTAAGCATCTGACTTTTTTTTTTAATGTTTTATTTATTTCTAGGAGAGAGAGAGAGAGAGGGACAGCGTGAGCAGGGAAGGGTCAGAGAGAGAGGGAGTCACAGACTGAAACAGGCTCCAGGCTCTGAGCTGGCAGTCAGCACAGAGCACGACGCGGGGCTCGAACCCACGAACCGCGAGACATTGACCTAAGCGAAAGTCGGATGCTTAACCGACTAAGCCACCCAGGCGCCCCTAAGCATCTGACTTTTGATTTTGGCTCAGGCCATGATCCTGTGTTCCGTGAGATCGAGCCCTGTGTTGGGCTCTGTGCTGACAGCATGGAACCTACTTGGGATTCTCTCTCTCTCCTACTTTGTCTACCTTTTCCCTGCATGTATGCTCTCTTTCTCTCAAAATAAATAAACATTTAAAAAACAGAAGTTATCAGAGTTTTAAAAGATGGATTATCTACAAAGAATTACTTTCACTAGCAAATACAAGTTTAAGTAAATATGAAGTAATGTTCAAGTAGTTGAGGATAACTGTCAACCTAGAACCTTCTATCCAGGTGCCTGGGTGTCTCAGTCAGTTAAGCGTCTGACTCTTGATTCTGGCTCAGGTCATAATCTCACGATTCTGGAGTCTGAGCCCTACCTCAGACTCTGCATTGCTTGGAATTCTCTTTCTGCCTCTCCTCCACTCACATTTCCTCCCTCTCACTCTGTCTCAAAACAAATAATCTTAAAAAAAAAAAAAAGAAGAAAGGAAAAATAAAGACATTTCAGAATACGAACACTTAAGAGACTGCCATCAGCAGAGCCTTTCAATAAGTAACTGCTGGTAAAGAATCAAATTCAGCAATTGGAAAAATGAATTCAGATGAAAGCAAAGTATGTAAGAAGTATTGTATAAAATATTGGCAAATCTAATTAACTATTACTTGTAAATAATGCCTGTTTTTTTGTGTTTAAAGAAGTTTCAATAGATATCCTAGACTAGTGCTGCCCTATAGAAATATTACATGTAATTCCAGATATTCCAAGAGCCACATTAAAAAAGTAAAAGAAACAGATGAAATTAATTTTAGTATTTTATTTAACTGAATCTATCTAAAATTTTATCACCTCAACATGTAATCAATTTACAAATCATTAATGAGATAGTTCACAAAGTTTTAACACCAAATCTCCAAAATGCAGCAGGTACGTAACACTTAACAGAACATCCCCATGCAAATGCTAGGTTCTCACCTGATCTATATTTGGAGTTCATCAAGTTTATAGTAGTTTCACACATCTGGATTGTTCCAAGAATATATAAATTGTTCCAATAACTGAACCTAATACAAATTTTGAATTTAAGTTGATTAAAATTGAAAATTTAAAAGATTCAGCTTCTTCTTTTTAAAGAGTGCGTAATTGCCTTACAAAGCTAGTGACTGCCATACTGAATCACATAGTTCTACACCATAACAACCTCTCATAAATGAGAGGATGATGAACGGATGAGAAGGTAAAGCAAGCTAGGGTCCTGTTTTGTTCTGGAGAATGACACAGTCACAGAATCATTTTAGACCTTGACAAAATAAAATTTAAAGATAGCCATAAAAATTGTTAACATAAGAAACAGGATCTATAAACTTCCAAATCAAGAGTGGAATCAAGCA